GGTCATACAGGCTCATAAGTACATTACTCTTTCAACATATCCTTTACTAGCAGTATATAGCAATACTGTCTGTTTTACCTTTGTAGAAACCACAAAAAGGTATCAAGCTTTAACACAGCTACCTCAGCACCATGATGACCAGCAAAGCCAATGTGTTCACACCCTACACTCCACAAAGAGTCCCCAGATACCTGTGGTTCTTTCCATCACAACAGCACCATGCTTCCTTCGTAACTGTAGCTCGCAGTGGTAAAACCACATCAGAGGTCGCTAAATATCATTGTGGGTGGGTGGGTTGGTTTTTCAACAATAAGCCAGACTCTTTTAACAGCACTAAACCACTCTTTTAGACAACTGACACACTTCCTGGCCACCCAAAGGCACAAACATGGAAAACAGCCTCACAAAGCCGGCTGCATTACTACTTAATGCTGCATTAACTCCTGGCTGAAGAGCAGAGCAGCTCAAGCATGTTTTAAAGATGCTACACCTGCACCGCTACCTGCCAGAGCTAAACAACTGGCACTCCATCATCACTGAAAAGGAACACAAAAGCTGTTACACCCATTGTCTTTGGTGAAGGAAGCCCAAGAAGATTCTCTCCCCTTGTTTAATTAAAGCCTTCCTGCCCAGCCATCTCTCCTTTTCTCAACTGCAAACTTTTATTTCCCGCCTCTCATTCACAGGCCAGCTCCATGAACAGTTCAAATGCTTTTAGAAAGGTCATATTTATTTAAGAGTTGCATCAAAAGCCCTGAAGAAGCTCCTCAGACAGCCCAGAGTTTCAGGTTAATACTTCCGCAGTGCTGTTAGCTTATCGGGGTGAAGTAACACATCCTTCTGAAGCACCCAGGCTCACACCCCCCCTCTCCCACTCCCCCTCCCAGCATTCGGCAGCGCCCGAAAAGCAGCTGCACTGCTTCAACCAAGGAGGCTGAGCCGGGAGCTACTTTAGGACTGTTAGCTCAGCTTCTAAACACTATCAGCAGCAAGCTAAGGAATCCCAGCTGCCTGGACGAATGCAGCCGAGGGAAAGGCAGGCAGGGAGGAAGGCGGAGACACACAAATAACCTCTCAGGGGAAAAAGTAGCAAGCACACCCCTCAAACCACGAGGCCTGTGAGGAAGCAGTTTATCTCCCCACTGCTGTTTCTTGTTTCCAAGTGAACTCTGTGTTGTACTCCCAGATCAGTTTTTGGTTGTGTTGTTTTCTGGTTTTCTGTTTGGTTTTTCAATGGAAATGAAGATGAAAGTTTTGTTTAGACAAAAAGCTGGTGTCAAAAATTTAATGGTCTGGTGTAAAAAGGAAATGGAGAAAAAAGCCCTGTAGAGCTCAGGAAATTTCAGGAGTGAAAATGCGACCATAAAAAAAGAAGAGGGAAAAAAAAAAAATGACCATGAATGAAAGGTATTTGCTGTCTGTCTCTGTTACACACTTCCACCCCTCTGCAACGGCCGCGTTTCCTAGTGGGAGCGTTTCTGCACATCGCCAAACAGGCGGGATGTTTGGTTTTCTCCGGGAACAGCGCGCTAAGGGCAGGCTTCCAGGAGCAGGAGCAGGAGAGGGCGCAC